AAAGCGCGAATTCCATAAGTGACATAAGTGCAAAGCGTTGCAAAAACTGGCATATGTGCGAATGGATATTCGTGCGTCAAAAGAATTTGCAAACATTGGGAGAACTAGCATACGTGCAGAGCAATTGCAAAAACTGGCACAAATGCAAACTGACATAAGCGTGAATTGTCATAAATCCGCCAAACAAATTTGCAAACGTTGGCATAAGTGCAGTTTGACGCAAGTGGGAATTGGCATAAGTGCGAAGCAGTTACAAAAACTGGCATAAGTGTGAACTTGCATAGCACAGTTGGCCAAAATTCACTTTTACTGGACAAAACTAATAACTCTTCAATTAAAAAAGATTTAAGAACCACTTTTGCACTGTTAACTAATTTAAGGGTTGTGGTTTCAATGGTGACATTAGTTTTAATTTTGGGTTGCTAAAGATACCTAAATTGCTTAGCAACCACATATTCATTACCCTTATAAATATGAAAAAAAATTATAACTCTATTGGATTACTCCCATAATTACCACTTGAGTATTTTTATAATACACATATAAGTGGTACTATGAATTTGTTATTTCGATAATAATGACACCTGAAATGCCTGGCAACGGTTTAATTTATATAGTTACTAGCTTAAGTAACTTTTCTTAAAGCATCAATGTTATAAACTAGACAAATATTAATGTGACAACCTGATTAAAAATTATTTTATGCATTTAAAAATTTAGCACATTCCCAGTTACTACTTTTAAGTATTTTTATGCAGTTCCAGGGCTTTATTTTATATTTCATGAAACTGCTACAAAATCCATATAGAAAGGAACCTAGGAGGAGCTTAAACCTTTTTGCGTATATAATAGTATAAAAAATTTTGATTTAAAATTATTTTTCGAATATATTCTAATAATTGAAAAACAGCTTTAACTTTTTTTTCTTTATTATCTTGATGCAAACTACAACCAGATGCAAACTACAACCTGATGCTAACAATAGTTCTTAAGATGAATATGATACAACTAATGGTGTCAATATTCTTTTTTTTGTTTTACTAATTAAAAATTCAAAACTTAAATGGGGCTTGTTAGATACTACAGTTAAATAAAAGCAAAGCTTTTTTATCAAAAGAAGCAGTTAGTAGATTTTTCTTATTTTTAATATCAAATTGAACTGATATTGGTTCATTTTGTATCTATTGTTTGTTATTCTTTTCAAAACGAATATTATAGTTTTTTTGCATATATGCCTTTGTCAAAGATGCTTTATGAAATTAGAAAGATTATTATTTAAAGTTAAGTTTATGCCATTTACAACTGCATCCATTATAATAGGATAGCTAAGTTTTAGTTTTCTTGTATTATATATGAATAAATTTTAATATTTTCATGCTTTAACTTTAGAAAAATATGAATTTCTTTTACGAAATCTTATAAATAGGTATTTTAAGATGTATAAATGTTAAAACAAGTTTGTAACACTAATCTAGTTTTGCTGAAACCCAACTATTACATAAACATTTAGAAAAAAATACATATAATGTTTTCGCCGTATTAAATCGGATACATCATTTAACTTGTAAAAATCATTATTAGAGACCAGGCGGACATCCGCGGATAAAAAAAGTGCTTCAATACGCCGTCATTTGAAATCATTTTATTTGACATTACATGCAAAATAGTGTTGTAATAACTCATTTGAAAGATAATACTTAATTTTACTAATTTATGCAATAAAAAGAGAAGTTTTAAAATTAACGTCCATTTCATGCTTATAAGTAACACAAAAAATATCAAATTAAAAAAAAAAAATTGAAAAAAATATAATGAAAAAATATAGTTTTTTATTCTACAGCTTACAAGCCTACGTCATGATTATTATACAAAAATATATACATTTTATAAAGGCTTAATGTTTAAGCTACAAAATGTTATATAATAATGTAATTTTTGAAGATGTTTTTTTTTTTTTACTTTTGTCCACCATTGACTGTGCATAATTATCACTGTGCGAGTTAGCATAAGGGTGCTAATTCCGAATAAAATTGCAAATGTTAACATAAGGGAAAATTGGCATTTCGAATTTATGCCGATTCGCACTTATGCCAATTCGCACTTTCGCCAATGTTTGCAAATTTGTTCGGCGCAGTTATGTCAGTTCGCACTTATGCCAGTTCGCACTTACGCCATTCGCACTTATGCCAGTACGCATTTATGAAATTAGCGCTTATTCAGTGGTCCCGTAAATAATACAATTAAATAATAATTAAAATTGTAGTTAATAATAAATAAATAAAAAGTAAATAATAAAATTAAGACAGAAGTTTAGTTAATAAAGTTCAAAGTAACATTTTATTTGTAAAAGTTAAATAAATATTTATTTTTTTGTTTGTTTGTATTATTTTTCTGTTTTCGCTATACATTCATATAAAGTTTGGCATGTCGACCATTGTCGACAACACTTAGTAAGAAAGTTGGATTTTTTAATAAAAATATGATAAAACCTCTTATAATGCAGTTTTATAGTTATTTAATATTTTGATTAATGAAATGCAGTCAATATATACTTTTATAGAAATGTTACAAACAGACTGTAAAAAAAAAAAGTTTTAAAAATACTGGTAATTCAGCTTTAAGAGTTGAAAGTAAAAAACATAATTTTAAAAATACTAAATTTCAACATTGATGAAAACTTCAAATATTATCCTAATGAGTAACTTTTCAATATTTTGATATTTGATTTTTCAAGCAAATAAAAAATTACTTCGAATAAAAATGATTTTTTTTTTTCATTCGTTACTAAAACAAACAACAACAATAAAAACATGAAAAACTAAAGTGAGTTTGTTTTTGTATTGTTCTTGAAAGTAAAAAAGGAATTGGTCCAAAATCTCAGCTTTAATTCAAAGTTATTAGCACCTGCTGGCCCAAAGTCACTTTCCGGCATAACCATTATCTATTTGCCAGTTCTAATTGGTTTAATAATTAGCTTGATTTATAAATTGGATCGCAAACACCTCTTAAGTAAAAAACACCCTAAGAAACTTATTTGACATTTTCATTTAAACTATTCGTACTTTATCACATAATTTAATCTCATGAACTAAACGATTAAAAAAAAAGAAAATGTTTTAGTGTACCAGATAATGATAATTTTTAGATGTTAATAATTATGATATCAAAAATTCTTTGGAATCAGATAAAATTAACGATTTAAAAGATTTATTTTTAAATGTTGACAATGTTGACGAAAATCTTAAATAATGTATAGATGTAGAAGTAAATACTGTAAGTCCTAAAAATTAATTCTGAACTATGTGTAGTTTTAAAATTTATTAAAATAAATAGAAAATTTATTAAAATAAATTTATTAAAATAAATAGAAAATTAATCAAGAAGATGAATTTGTATTAAAAACTATGCAAGCTGAGTTGTTTCTATTTTGAATAATTATGATTATGTAAAATTTATAAATTGTAAGGGAGGGTTTAAAGCCGGTCATCTTTTTTAAACTCAAGCAGATTTTTAGATAAAATTAAAAATCTATTAGAGAATTTAAAATTAATATAAGTAAAAAGTGTATATACATTTTTTATCTTATTGTCCTCACAATTGGGTTAAAAGGCTTTTTGGAGAATCGTTTAGCCACCACAATTTATGACAAATCATCTTCAATGTGTCATATCTGAAACATTAATAAAATAAAAATTGGCACCCAGGGGGTGGGGGTATTTACACCTTTGTCCCCCTCATTGTCTCCACGAGAGACACTGAGGGCGACAGTGTTTTTGTGCATGAATAACAAATGTTATTCACACACAAAAATAAAAAATTAAAAAAATTATTTTTAGACAATATTTAACTCATTTGGATCTTAATATCCACACAAATACATAGATTATACTTTTGACAACATATTTTAATGAAATGTTATAACTGGGCATCGTTTGGCATATCGGTAAATATAAATATAATATAAATAATCTCATGATATATAAATGTTTGTTAAAAATATTTATATCTTTTATTTTAACTATTTTATTTTAGGCAAACAAAAACTAAAATGGAATTTAACTATATATTTGCGCATAATCATATAACACACACGAAAATAATATAAATAGTAATAATTTTTTTTTTTTAATTAGGCATAAAATGTTTTAAAACATATGTTTAAATAATCCTTTAACTTATTAAAAGTCAAATAGTTTTTTATAGTCAAATAATTTTTTTTAACTATTATTATTTTGCAAATATTTTATTTTCAGTTAACAGTTAAACTCCATTTCATATTTTATTTTCCTGTCTAAAATATTTTAAAACTGTTTTTATATTTTTCAAAATTACTATTATTTTATTAAATAAGATCTAATCATATTATTGGATTTAGTGATTTTTTCCACACAATAAAACAGCAACAAAAGTAATCGTGGAAAACAAAAAAAATATATAATTTGTGGGTGATGTTTAAAAACAATTTTTTTTAACTTTGTTTATTCATTTTACTCCATTCAATCTTATTAAAAATGTATTCCGCCAATTGTATTTTACGCTTAGCAACTTAAGTGCTCGGGTGATTTTGTGATCAAACTAGTGAATAATCTATTTGCAAGTATAATCATATTCTTTTACATTTGAAACAATTGATTTTTAGAAGGCGGAAATTTAATAATTGACGCTGTTGTTTAGGAAAACAAAATATTTTTGTTGATTACATGATTGCTCTTTCATTTTGAATACTGCTTAATAATGATATTAGCATTTTGATTGCATATGGTTCTCAATTACAATTGTATAAATCTTCGTAAGCGATCATAGGTGTCCGAAAATTCCTAGCGTATTTCCTCTTAACAAATTTTTAATACAAAATAAATTGCCAGTTACACACTTATAAAAGAAAACAATAGAAGTTGACGCGGACGATTAAATAGACGCGTATTTAAATATATGACTACAAACTCGTACTGGCATATTTTTTCCGTATAATGCAAAACGTATAATCGATTATATTTTAAAAAATGACAACATAACAAATTATAATTCAGACTTTTACGTAATGTTAAACGCAACACGCACCTTTTATGTTGGTCATTTAAATTCAATATAAAAAACATTGTATCGTGCTGATTCATAAAGTACAAAATTAGATTCTAATATGGGAATTACCAATCTTCTCTGTGTGTTACTACTTATATATACGTATATATACTCATCACATGTATGTTAGCATTTGTTATACTTATTTTGTTATTTGAAGGAGATGTCTAAGATAAGCGAATTCGACTTGAACAAATATCGAGAAGCTTTTAGCTTGTTTGATGCCGATAATGATGGTGCAGTTAGCGTTAATGAGGTGAAAGAAATTTTTAACAACTTAGGTTACAATCCTAGTCAGAAAGAGTTGCAACGAATGATGCACTCGATAGATAATGGAAAAGAGGGGTTAATGAGCTTTGAAAGATTTGCTCAGATAATGTCTAAGAAAACAGAAAAAGTGGATTATGAGGGAGAACTCAAAGCTTGCTTTCAACTATTTGACAAAGATGGAGATGGGTTTGTTACACAAGAGGAACTTTTCGAAACTTTAAACAAATTAGGTTTTCATTTCACGCAAAAGCAAGTAAGCGACATGATGCAGTTTGCTGACGAAGATGGAAATGGACTCCTCAATTACGAGGAATTTGCAAAAGTGAACAATACTTTAAACGGTGTTAAATAACCAAATGTACTCGATACAAACCATGTCAAAAGTAAAAGACAATCAAATACAAAAATGAAAAAAAAGTTTATACGTTAAATTTTTATGTTATTAAAAACACTATAACTATAAATAAACAATATATAACTGATATTTTGATGATAAACATTTTTAAAAGAAGTATAAAGTTTAAAAACAACATCAAAAATTAATAAAACTTAAAAAATTTGTTTTTAATTATAGTTTTTATAAATTTTATCTAAACTAGTGCATTTGCATTATATGATACTTTAACATAATGTTTTATGATTAACTATGTGTAATTATTAACTATGGTGTAATTACCTGGGTAGAAAAAGGGGTTGATATTTCAAAAGCAGGGGAAGGGGGTTGGGGATAAATTTAACACAACTATTATTCGTAAAAATATTTTTCTACACCAATGTTATTTGGCATTTTTTGGTATTTGAGATTCCAAACTCCAAACATTCGTATGTTTATACTTATGTCAAATAATGATGCTTTTCAAAATAATGTGATGATTTGAGACTTGTAAGAAAAAAACCCTAAAATTTCAACCACCCTCCCCCACCCCTATCCACTTTAAATGTTTTTTGTACTATTCTCAACTAGACTTATATTCATCGATAAATTTTATGTTTCATAGTATTATCTCTCAGCGTTTAAAAATTATGACTATATAAAATTTGTAACTCCCTCACATTGAGGGGGGTTTAAACTTGATATGGTCATAATTTTTGAACACTAAGAAATATTATTATAAAACTTGTAATAACATTATAAATAATATTTTATCAATTAGTTGCTCTCACGTTTCGGGGAGATAGGAACGAAAATTTAAGGGTTTTTTGTTCTCAGGCTCCAATCATCACAATTTTTTGCAAAGCACCATTATTTGACATAAGAATAAACATACAAAAGTTTGGAGAGAATTCATTCATTATGAAAATTGAATAAATGAACTGTCAAACACTAAATTTCCTGGATCCGTCACTTATCACTTCTTATTTTGTGAAAATGTAGATTGTGACTTTACTAGATTGATTAGTAATCCATAAAATAATAGAAAAACAAAATTTTATAATTAACATAATCATTAGATGAATTTTTAACTTTGAGTTATTATTGATTAATTAAATCTTTTATTATTTGATTGACTTTAAAAAAAATATTTAAAGTTGGATATATTGAGATTTATGAACAATAATAACCATTTTGATTTATTTTTAAATTGCTCTGATGTAGTCTTATTTTTGTTAGCAATATCTGATAAGTTTTTGCACAGATAAAGTGTGCAATATTTAATTGAACAGAAACTTAATTTTAATATAAAATTCGGAACAACAAAGTTGTTATTTGAAAAATTTATTAAGTACTTATGATTAATTTTGTCAAAATAAAATTGATTAATATTATTTTGATAAAAATATTGGGAGACTATTTTTATTTAAACATAAGCATTAAAACTTGATGTAAATTAAGTTTATACACATTTAAAGCACCGAACACACGTAGTAGTGGTTTGCTAGAAAAATTTTTGTCGGCACCAAACAATTTTACTAATAGATGTAGATAATCTGCGCGTATGTTTTTATTTGTTGTAAAGTTACTTTAGTTTTGTATGGCTAGCACTAGCCCATGCAATACTGCAGTAGATGAAATTGTGAAAGTTTGATACTCTGGAACCACTCATTAAATTTAAGCAAATAAGTTAGTTAAATAGTTACATAAATCCACCGCCTTGTTGAACTCATCATCAGACCGCTTTTGTGTGGTATTTAAGGTAAATGATGAGCTGTAGTAACTACGATGAATGAAAACTGCCTAGTAGCTACAATGAAGGAAAACTGTCCAGTTTAAATTTATCAACTGATTTTGCCTCAATGACATCATCTGGCAAAGCTTTCCAGTCATTGACTACACAGTTGTTAAAAAAACTAATGTCTTATTTTGCAGTTCCTGACAATCTCGTAATGAAATCTGATTCGATGTTGAGCTTTGGGTGCTATGCTGCAAGACATTACGTGCTAATCTATTATGTTTAAATTGTTGAGAGGCTTATATTGTTAAATAAGATCGACTCTTTTCCGTCTGTCTTCAAGAGTGGTTAATTTCACGATTTTACATCGATTTTTGTAGCCTTTATTATTCAAAGCCTGAGGAACTTTCGTTGCGTTGTGTTGAATCTTTTCAATTTTTTTATCTTACAATTAATGTAAGGGTTCCAAATTTACATGCCAAACTCCAGATGTGGTCTATATATGCAGTATAAATTATTTCCAAATGTCAATGTCTCTTGATACAAACTTGTGTTTAAGAATTCCGAGCATATTATTTGCTTTGTTTGCTGCTAGTGCACTGTTGAGCATTTTTAAGATTTTTAGAGATTAGAATTCCAAGATCTTTATCGGAATTTGTGACTCCTAAAACAACTCTATTTGTTGTGCCGTCATTTTTGATTTCATTCATAATATAATCAATGTTTATTGTTCCAGAGTTTACATGCATGACTTTACTTTTTTTTTTTAAATGAATTTACATTTAAATCCATTAGTCAGGTTTGAGTCCATTTAAAAATCTCGTCTAGATCGGATTGTAAACTTGGTCAGTCTTCATCATTTTTAATAACTTTCATGAGTTTTTCGTCATCTGCATACATTTTACAAATGGTTGATTTGACATGAATTGGCAGATCATTAACAAATATGACAAAGAGTGTTGGTCTTAACATAAAACTTTGGGGAACCCCGCTAGTTACATCAATCCAGTCATATTTTGAATCTCCAAGTATAACACGTTGCTTGCGGTTTGTCAAGAAGGCTTTTCTCCAATTTAGAAGATTGCCATTTATACCATACATATCAAGTTTTTGCAGTAGTCTTACATGCGAAACTTTATCGAATGTCGTTGCTAAGCCAAAAAAAATAATTAGATTGACTGGTTTTTTCTTTGACTTGCTCTGAGTCAAAAAGTCCATTGTTTCTAAAAGATTTATTATGCAAGTTTTTTTTTTGAAATATAACCATGTTGAATTTTGGAATGCAAAATGTTTTTCACCAAATTATCAATTATGACTTGTCTAACTATTTTTTCCATAAGTTTGCATGGAACAGAGGTGAGCGATATTGGCCTGTAATTTGCTGGATCTGTTCTGCTACCTTTTTTATAAATAGGTGTAACATTAGCTTTGAACCAAGATGATGGAACCTTTACAAATTTTATTGAAAGTTGAAAAATCAAAATTAGCGGAACTGCCATTGATGTGGTACATACTTAAAAAATAAATTGGCTAATGTTATCATTGCCCATTGACTTAATTCCATCAAGCGTATTCAAGTGTTTGGGAACAATGGTTTTGGTCAAATGTTATACCCGAAGTTAAAACATTTGTTTTGGATGGAAAAAGTTTTAGTGGCTGATATAGCGGTATCTTTGTAAAAACAGATTTAAATTGGTTGTTGAGAATGTTTGCTTTTGTTATTCCATCACTGGTAATTTGATTTGAACCTGAGGTAAAGACTAATATTTGATTGCTCACTATTGCTTTACTATTAATATATGAAAATAGTGTTTTTGGATTGTGGTTGTTGTTAGCTAGCTCTGAATCATAGACATGTAATGCTTGTTTGCTGTTTTTCTTTATCTCATTTTTGAAATTTGTATACTTCCTGACGTACGCTGCATTTTTCACTTGAGTTTGGATTTTTGTACCAGAGCTCTTTTATTATTCTAATTAGCTTTATTAAACTGTTTGTGATCCAGGATTGCCTTTTTTTGGCAGTATTGTTTGACGCTTTTCGAATAAACTTATGGTACGCTTTATTATAGAGGTTAGACCATATGGAATAACACTCTGGAACATTGCAATCCATAAATCTAGCTTGCCAATTTATGTTATTTATAAAAGTGTTTATTTCATCGTATTTACCATATTTATAAAGGAACTTTTGGCTTTTAAAGCTATTTTGATTACTACAGCTTAAACTGTGCTGCCAGCTAGAGATTTATGCCTGTGGAGGCTGTAACAAGACAAGGTCTGTTAAAATTTTGTTGGTTCTATCTTATTTTGATTTTGATATAAGTAGATCAAGTGTGTTGTTTAGATTTCTATCAAAGTTGGACATTTGAGATGCTGGTAGAGGTGGTTGTTACAGAGAGCATCATTAAATTTGTATTCAACACAGATTGCCAAGTTATTTCTGGAAAGCTGATGGAACCTGTCACAATTAAACCATTATATATTTTTATATTAACAAGTACCGAACTAAACGAAACAAATATGATTTATAAATTAGATCATATTTGTTTTGTTCAGCTAATAATTGGAATTTTGCGTGAAGTTGCATTGGTATAGAAGCAATAGAGTGATTTATTCTGATGAAAATTGTTTTTGTTTGATGGGAACGTATGTGCTAATTAATTTGCTAATTGTTCAGACTGAAATGATATACGATAGTTCTGCAGCTACGTAAGTTTCTTTCCAGTCGCCAAACGGGTTTTTTTTCAGTACCATTGATATCGATAAATAAAAAAATATTTTTTTTCAGATATAAATATTTTGCAGTAAATAAAACTTGAAGAAAACGTCTTATTATGGAGCACCTTTTTAGAATATTTGTGAAGCAGTTGCATCAAATAGCAGTTGCTGCTATTTGATGCTCTTTAATTAGTTATAATTCAAGTTTAAAAGCAACATTGTCAAGTTTTTATATTTTCTGTGAGAAATTTAATTGTTGCTACGAGCGACTGAACCCAACTGTTTTGTCTAGTAGTTGTTTCTGATGGTTGGGGAGCCATTTTTGGCATTACACAGGGACTAAAAAATTTCAGTGTGAGTTCCGTGAACAATTAGATTTTCATTTTTTTTTTTACAAGTTCATTATATTTATAGTTCACTACGTTACAATTCCATAACATAATAAAATGCAATATACAAAATATATAACATAACATAATATAACGTAGTTTAGCAAGTTTACCGAAGTATAACGTAATTTAGTGTGATGTTTTTCATGACCACAGAGAGCTTTCATGACGCCCGGGGCAACGCACCCCTTTAAGCATGCATTATTTTACAAA